AGCATTTACTGTGTATCAGACTGTTAAAGATGCTGGAGAGGCACAGCTTTAGTGTAAGGGAGATAGGTTTAAACAAGATAATTAAATGAATTTCATAGAACTTTAAAAGTTAATAAGTGATACAGAAAAATAAAGCAGATAAGAGGCATATGAAATGCCCAAGGGGAGAAAGAGTACAATTTTAAATTTGGTGATGGGTATGACTGACTGAGGAGGTGATCCCAGTGCAAAGACTTAAAAGAGGTGAGGGTCAGTGCTATCTGAGGGAAGAGGAAAGTCAGGCAGAGGACCAGTAAGAGCCTGAGGGCCCAGGACTCAGCAAAGAAGTCCGTTGAGACAAAATGGAGTGTTTGAGAGAGAGTCAGAGAAGGCTCAGGTCAGACCTTGGGCACTGGTGGATGTTTATAAGAACTTTGGTTTCTGCTCTGAAATAAGAAGTCTTGGCATAGTTTTAAGCAGAGTAGAAATGTGACTGTGTCAGGTACATTTTAAGAACAGTGAGCCAGCATGGAGGTGATAGTATCTTGGATCTGGGTCATTATGGTTTAGTATGACATATTGGATTTTCTTCCTGCTTTGAAGTGGAGCTAGTAGGATTTACTGAGATAGTAGATGAGGGATGGAAAGAAAGAGGAGTTCTCAGTGAATCGTGGTGGTTTTGGACTAAGCAACTAGAAGATAAAATAGCCTTAAATGGAAATGGGGCAATAGGCTGTGTGGAATATTTTAAAAATAGATCAGAGACTAATTTGGGGTTGTATTGAGATAATTTTTAGACAGTCAGATAGAGATGTGCAGTAAGCAGTTGAATGTGTGCTTCTAAGTTCAAAGGGGAGGTCCCAGATTCACATATTGGAACGTAAAATAGTATTTGAGACAATGACATTAGAATGAATGTAGAAAAGAAGAGAAGAATTTCAGAACTAATTTGAAGCATTTCAATGTTAAGATATCCTGAGAGTCTAGGAATGTAGCTCAGTGGTAGAGCCCTTGCCTAGCATGTACAGGGTTTTGGGTCCCATCAACAGCACTGAAAAAAATCCTAGTAATGAGGAAGGATAGCCAGGAGACTGAAAGGAAGTGACCAGTAGACGGGGGTTAAAATAGCTTAGGTTCTTGGAATTTAGGAGAAGCATTTTAAAGGAATGTGAATGGTCCAGTGTCTCAAGTGTTGCTAGTAACTAAGATAAGAATTAATGATTCACAGCTGAATGTAGCAACAAAGTAATTCCACAAAGAAAGAAAGGGGTCATGATGGGAGTAGATAAGTGGGAACTGGAGGGTAGGAGTTAGAAAAGGCAAATACAGAAAGTCTTCAGGAATTTGTCTGTAAAGAAGAAAGAATTGTAAAGGAAGATGGGAGAGGAAAGAGTTCTGTTTCTTTTTTTAAGGTGGGAATAGTTAAGAACGATTTGGGGGAGGAGTATTTTGATGAAGACGGGAGCGTTGCTAATGAAATGTCTTGAAATGCATGAGAAGTGGTGGGATTTGGTGAGGTGACTGGCGGCAGGCCCAGTGATGTTTCATCATATTAAGGACAGAAGTTCAAATTATGGACACAAGTTAACAGCAGGAAGACATAGAAAGTAGGCACTAGCAGAAGTTTTCAGATTTCATTTTTCTCAGTGAAATAGAAAATAAGGCCATTGACTGAGAATGAGAATGAAAAAGAAATTTGGAGAGCTTGGAGGAGAAAACAGTCTTCCAGAAGGTTAAATAGACAAATGTGATAACGTGAGTTTTTTTAACTACCCTTTTTATCTTTTTATTATTATATATCGAGCATGCAGAATATTGAACATGTGAGTTTTAGATATCAGATTAGTCACTTAGATGGCATCTTTTTATATATATATATATATATATATATATATATATATATATATATATAAAATTTGGCGTCTTTCATTTTTAACCTAATGGCTAATGTCCAGCCTAATGCCAGCATCAGTAAGTACTTAACTTCAGAACTGGGGACATCTATAGCTAACTCTGTGTTGTACTTGCTATCCTAAGCACCTCACCGATTTATCGTACTTTCTCGCTGTGTATAGTGGCTACCTATATGGACATTTAGAGCCACAGAGGGATGAGGTCAGTAAGAGAGGGAGGAGAAAGTATCACTATCCGCAGATAACTGTGTTGAAATAGATTTTTGGAAGGTCTTACAGTTTACTCAAGGTTGGTCAGCCATTGGGGGACAGTGCAGAGTTGTAAGCCTCCCTTAAACACACCCTCTGCCTTCAAACACACAGCCCCCAGACCCCAAACACCGGACGGTTTTGCCTGCACTGGCCTCAGCATCCGGGAGAGGGCAGCCCTGCACACATCAGCGGGCCCGCCCCACCCACAGGCTCTGTGACTCAGCTCTGGCAGTATCCCTCCAGGATCTCGCCCTGAAGCCACAGCCCTGATTCTTCAAGAATGTTTGCTGAAAGCAGTTGTTCTCAAGCAGTGCTTTTCCCCAAAGTGGCGTCTGGCAACATGTGGAAACTTTTTGAGTTGTCATGACTGGTGCATGGAAGCGAGGCATGCCGCTACACATAGATCCCGAAGGCGCAGGACAGCCGCCCACCCCCACCGACAACTGTCTGGTGCAAAATGTTGATTGGTGTATTGAATAATCCTTCCCTAAATGAAAATCCTTCCACAGTGACCCAGAGGAACAAATAGAAGATAGTTTCAACGTGCTAATAATAATAACAACAATAATAATAGCAGTCAGTCAAAAATAACCAACAGGTTCACTTCTTTGGTTCCGAGGGCTGCGTGATCCTGACTTAGCATTTCAGCTGCTCTCTTCCCGACTGTTGCCATCAGTGTGCTGAACTGGGATGTATTTGTGCCACCTGCCATGGAGGTCATCCAAAGGAAGGACTGTCCTCCCTTATCTCTCTGAGGAAATGATCCCTCTTGCTCTGTGGATACATAGTGTATTCCAAACATACACTGAAAGTTTAAGGTTTTTAAAAATTTATTACAATAAAAGACACATTTCCATTAGTCTCCCGTAGGGTACTCCCTCCCCCTTCAAACACACTGATCCCATCATTCTGGAATCCTCTTTTGTGAGTGCTTTTAGCTGCACTGTCATGGCTGCCTCATGGGTCTACATGGGTGCAAAACGTTTACCTTTCCTAGTTATTTTGACTTTGGGCAGGATCCAATGGATAAAGTAGGCGAGAACACATCGCGAGGTTTTTTCAAGCCTGCCTTTCCATTGGATGCAGCACTCACTGTATTTTTAATCATACCTGGTAAAGGCTTGACAGAGGTCTTTCAGAACTCCATCAGAAAGTGGCAAGAAACGTAAGATAAGTGTGTTAAGAAAGAGAGACAGAGACAGAGACAGAGAGAATTTAATAGGGCAATCAATGCCAATGTGTCTTTCGCTGTAATAAATTTTTAAAATTTAAACAATCTGTATACTTTGATCACTACTTATATTCTCCATCTCCAAACTATTTGTGATTTTGAAAATATATCTTTGCAAAGCCATATTTTGTCCAGGGCCTCGTGGCCTGGCAGGAGTAGCAATTTGCCTATTCCCTGGCCCCAAGCATTTCAGATCAACCAGAGAATGGTTCTCAAGTCTACTGACCTAACCTATTTAAACTTGCATTCTAGTTGTGAGGAGCCACCTCCTTGGAATTGGAACTACTTTTCTGAAACAGGCCCACGTGGGGGAAAGATAGACCCTTATCCACATTTTACCTGAAAAAGATTGCCCCCAAGCCACAATGAGCCAGTATTCCATAAAATAATAACTTTTCTTTGTAAATCAGGTTGCTCCCCTCTTAACAGTGTGACTCTGATCCAGCAGAATGTGGTCTGTGGAATCAGTTTTGCCTTGTGGCATGATTATCTTCCCCACTTTCCTTGTTTCCCTCTTTCCTTATCATGAGTGTCTAAAGACATATAAATTATGACCTTAATGTCAATGTATAGCTATAGCAGGAAATAGGCAACCATCTTTTAAATTACGTTAAGTTGTAAGTTTCATCAAAGACCACAGTGCCTACGTTCTTCCTTACAGTAGTTCATTTGAAATACAAAGTGGGAGGATTTCTAGAAACCAAATATGCCTATGAAGTTAGGACTTAGACTTACTAGTGGCTGCAGAACTAATTCAAGATGAGGGGAAAGAAAGCAGGATGTAGACACATGAATGGCAAAACATGGTTAGTGCTTTCTTGAGGGCCTCAGTTTAAAGCAATGCTATGCTCCCACTATTAATAATAATTATAGTAATCATTATCACTGAGGCAGAGATATTTCTTTAGGCTCAGGCCTTATTCCAAGCACTATGCAGGTAATCTCACTCCATTCATTAACTGCCACCAGGAAATAGGAACGCTTCATGAAGATACTCTAAGAAACAGGTAAGGTGTCCCAGGTGCCCAGAAGAGGACAGCCAAGATTTAAACTTGGGAAGGTAGACACTGTAAAGTCACTAGAAGCGTTTGTCTTGAGAAGAAGCAAATCCCTTTGGGAAAAAGGTGGTCCTTGTTTTTTATAAAGTCTTAAGGTTTGCTGGAGAAGGGGTCTTTCACATAGTCCTAATGGTTCTGGGATTTCATCAGCATAGCACATTGGCTCTGCATTGCATGCAGTGATGGTGTAGGAAAACCCTAGGGTTTAGAGTCTGGCATCCCTCCCACTAATCACATGTAATGAGACTTTCCGGAAGCTACCTGACTCTTTTGAACCTTGCTTTTTGTATCTATAAAGTGCCGTGAGTTTTAGAATACATGTCAGATGCTCTGCAAATTGCTTACTAATATAACTGTGATCATCACTGTTGATATTTTAAAGTACATTCTCCATTTTTAATTTTTTTTGTGGAGGTTTTAAATAATGTTGGGTGCTTCTGCCGTTTCACTGGCATTTGTGTTTCATGGATTGCTGAAGACCAAGTATAAAGAAACACAGCCAGCTGAACCACCAGCCCTGTTTAGGAAAACAGCAATGCTAAGCTTATTTGTGTTTTCGAATTTTAGGCAGTGCCCAGGTTATTGAAGGTGGCCAAGTGGAATTTACTCCTCTTTTGGGCATTCGGTACATGTGGTGGTACCATTTAATTGGCCTCATCTGGACTAGCGAATTCATCCTTGCATGTCAGCAAATGACTATAACCGGAGTGGTGGTGAGCTGGTATTTCAACAGGTAAGTGCAGTTAATCTGTGAGCTTCGTGTTGTATATCTCAAAAGATTTTTAGGCATTTTGACCTGATTCTTTAAAATTAGTTGATAAGGGTAAAAGGCTAAACTAAAAATAGGTCTGGATGCTCCTTTAGTGATGAACAGATATGTTATACCTTAAATCTGCCATATTTCCAGATTCCTTTGTGTTAAGCTGAAATTTTTCAAAAGAAGCCAAACAGCAAAGTGATCACTACTGCTCAGAACTAAAAAAAATACCTAAAAGAAAAGGTGGAATTTTCTGTAAATAGCTGTCCTTATCTATTTCAGACTCTAAAAATTACCAGTGTGTTTTAAATATACTTCTGTAATTCTGTAAGCCCTGCTTTCCTTCATCAAGACAATGTTTGCTTCGAAAATAATTTTAAATCCTAAAGAAATTGTGAATAACTATAAGCTATGATTGACGTCCATAGTTAAATAACAGTGAATCTATTGCTTGCTTCTCTGTTTATACCCCATACTTTAGGAAAACAACCTGGGACACACACACACAGACCCCACACTCACCTGAATCCTTTGCCTTGCTTGTGTGCGACCTCCGCAGAACTCTGAGACTGCAGCCACAGGAGCAGGCCCCAGGGACAATGATAGGGTTGGACCCCAAACAGGAAGTTTACTCCCGATAGGGCTGATCCTCTTCTAATTTCTCAGACCAAATGAGTAGATAAGCATGAGTTTTCATGGGGTAAGAAAGTCAACCAGGGATGATTCATGGCACTGAGTAGTTCCCTCTTGACAATAAAGAGCACTGTGGGTTTTTAATAGTGGTGCTGTTTGGGAACCCCATCATTAGGGACTGTGGAAGATCCACAAAGGGGCTGTTACTGTTGGCCTTGAGACTCTTCCAGAGGCAGGAGGTGGGGGCTGTGTGTTGTTTGCTCCTGTATAGGAGAGCAAAGATCATTCTAGCCAGGTTGACAGTTAACATTTGTCTGGCAGTCATGTTGTGTTATCTTAGAAGAACAAAACCAAAGCATTTTCAATGATGGCTCTGATGTGGAGTTCTGTGAAACAAATACAGTTATCTCCTAATCCCTCCCCTCTTCAACTCTATCCCTTCCCAAATCAAATCATGAAGAAATGAAAACAAGAGTAAACACACAAAGGCAGTGAGAAACACAGATGGGAGGGAAGTGGATGAGAAATATCAACCACATGGCGAGAGCTGAAGACAGGACAGCTGACTGGTGACTGGCCGTGCTGGAAGAAGCTGGAAGGGCCTGTCCCTGTGAGTTGGCTGAGTGAGGAAGCCCTAATAAAATGCAGGCTGAATTGAGCCACAAAAATCCAGAGAGACTCAGGAATTCAAGTGGAAAGTATAGTTCCAGAGAGCGGCTGTAAGTCTTCCTAAGGAGCAGTTGGATCCCAGATCCCTGCTCTATACAAACAGCAGATCTTGCTCTCCAGAGATATAAGCCAGAGAGGATTTTGGGGTGTCTGATACAGCTGAGACTGGGGCAAGGCTTTGTACCCAAGTAAGGAGAAAAAGTGAAAGTCTAAATATATAGTGAGGATCCCAGGTTCACCAACTCCCCACATTCCGAATCTCAGCTCCCACGATGCCTCGAGCCAGGTTGATTCCCTGTGAGGAGGTTAGAGGAAACCGTTAACTCAAGTAAAGACCTATACACACTGACATCTGGGCCCTCCACCACCTAATGAAATGAATTCCCTGACTCCTAACCAAACAGTGCAGCATTCAGGCAATAAACTACACCCCTCCACCGAGCACCTGACTTTTTAATTGTTAACCAGTGATGGTCAAAACTTGAAGAAAACCAGTAGTGCAAGATAGATCAAAATGAACAAAACAAACAAAAAGAATTTAGGGAAAACAAATACAATACAGGCTATAAAAGAAAATTATTCCAAAAACGTGTATTATCAGAGAGAACAAAAAATATTGTAACCATAAATTAAGACTCCCTCCTAAAACAATGACTCATGAGAAAACATAAATGACTCCTTAATATTTGAAAACTGCAAAAGTAAAATATTTCTATTGAATTATTAGAATATAAAGTTCAATGTTCTTGGAGAGGTAGAACAAAAAGACATGGAGATGGGGAACAGGAGTGAAAGGACAGAGTGGGAGAGTTATTTAGGAGACTCACATCTGACTGTATGAGTTCCAGAAATAGAGACAAGAAGTTTTTTTAAAGACATCATCAAAGAAAAATTCCCGGGGCTAGGGACATGAAGAAACATAGGGTTCCAGAAGCTCTTCTCAAGGGAGAAAAAAAGATCAAAGTTCACGGACACAGGATCCAGACCCAGAATGGGATGTGACTTTCAGTAGCAGCTCCGAGTCAGGAAAACAGTGGAGCCAGGCCATCAAAATGTGAGTGAGATGATTTCCAACCTGGAATTCTGTACCCGTTCCCACTACCAGTCAACAATAAAGGAGAATAAAATCATACTCAGGCACACAAGTTCCCAAAAGGTTCCCTCTTATCATCCTTTCTAGGAAGAACATTTCCAACTGAAATACATGAGAAAGGCAGGGAGAAAAATAGGAGTTTCAGAAAATGAGCTACAGCACAGAGAAGAAAAAGGCATTCTCAGGAAGGTGAACTATGCAGCAGATGTAAAAAACATCCAGTCCAAGATGGAGCAGGAGGGCATAGCTTCCAGGAAAGCTGTCTCCAAGAAGAGACAGACAGAGACGATAAGATGTGCTTGAATGTATTCAGAAAAGATTTACATGTTGGAGATGCATTTAGTAAAGCCTATGGAAAAGGAAATGTATTTTTAAAAGATGTACCACAGTCGCTAACTCCAGGAGAAACCAAAAGTTGCACAGGAAAAGAAATATAATCGGAATATGCTACTTGATTTGGTTGTGACTGTTGTTCACTGTATGTGTTATTTATGCACTAATAATTTAAATGCTAAATGTTAAAATGTCAGTGTAATTAGACTGGAAAAGAAGGGGAGATAGAAAAATGAGTATATAGAAGTGGAGTGATTTAGACTGAAAAAGAAAAGAAAACCTTAATCTTCCAAAGTAGAAAGTCAGTAGACAGTATCTAGAGCTGAAAATTCAAGAGGAGGTAGGGAGTGGGATTCAGTGGTACAGCAGTTTCCTAGCACGCAGAAGGCCCTGGGTTCAATTCCAGCACTGCAGAAAAAGAAAAAGGAAAAATTAAGAAATAATAAAGAAAGAAAAAGAAAAAAGAAAGAACATATAATTCTTAAGCGTGGAGGTAAGTTCCACAAGAAACAGTCAAACTTTTGTCTCTAAGGAGAAACATTTAAGGATGGGTGAAGAAAACAGCCTTCCTTTTTTTTTTCCATTCAAAACCACAAGTGGAATTTGGCTTTTTGACATACTTTACCTATTATTTTGATTAAAAATAATTTAAAATGAAGTGTGTGATGATTTATTTTTAGCATTACTATTTCCGTTAATAAGGTATTGTTCTTTCTTCTGGACCATCTCTGCCTGATTTTGAAACCTTTCCTTATCTCAGAGCTCTCATTTCTTCAGGACTATCTTCTGGCCTGCACGGAGGGTGAGGATTAAATATAGCCAGAGTGCATTTATCTTTGTCATTCATTTAAACCCTAAGAGGGCTAAAGGGTTCATACAAAGATCAGGCACCAACCTGAGCAATGTACTATTTACAAACATTTGCTTGAAGAAAGGTCAGTGGAGAGCCATAAAGATGCTGTTCAGGGATGCGATAGGAAGGAGCAAGAACTGATCGTTCGGGAAGGGATGCTGGAGGCATGGTTTCATCATCATTTTCAAACAGACAAAAGATGGTTTCCAGCTGTTCTGGATCTGCTGGGGAAGCAGTGAGGAAATGCATTCACAACAGAGCCTAAGGAATTTAAGTAGAGATGGATGAATTTTCTAAAGTCCCTAACTAGTTAACCAGCACAGCTAAATAAATCCTGTTCTTATAATAAAGACAATTTCTATTTTCTGTAGGTCTGGAAAAATGAGCTTTATAGCCTCCTCACAGCCCTCCTAACCCCATCGTGCAGTGGTTTTGCTGAAAGGTCTATCAGGAAGGAGCATGGTCTTTGCAGGGCCTCCGGGGTCTCCTTTACTCCATACTAGCTTTGCACTGGAGGCCAACTGCGCTGCGCAGCCAGGCTTGTCCAAGAACCTCCGCACAAAAGTAATTTTCCAGAACATTTGAGTTTGTACTGAGCTCCACCGGATCTCACTAGAACTACAGCTTACTACTGGGACCTTGAAGTAGCTCACCTGGCTTCCTGCTCTATGTCACCTGGTGGACCTGGAAGTTGCAAAATAGTACTGAGGTACCATGACCCAAAAGTGTTACAGAACTTGGATGAGTGGGACCAATATACCGTTTTCCCAGCAGCTTGGACAGCCAGGAGGAACCTAGCTCTGTTGCACAGGGTCAGGCACTGTTATCATTCAGGCAGTCATGTGTTTGAAAGAAGGAAAACTGGGTGGCATGGGGCACATCCTGGAGTCATCTTGCCCCTAACACTGCTCATGCTTCCCTGCCGCACCCAGAACTGGGATGAATTTGGCCAGTCAGCAGGCACTCGACGTACATTTCTCCCTGAAGACAGCTGAGTAAGCCTGACAGGAGACTCTGTCCTTTTCCTTCCAACTATAAGCTCATCGCTGAATTGCCCAGTGAGCCAACACTGAAATACCAGTTCTCAAAACACAGTCAAGTCCAGAACTAAATTTTGTTAGAGATGTGTGTGCATGTGTGCGTGTATGGTACTGGGTATTAAACACAGGGACTTCATAGGGAGCTACATCCCCAGCTATTTATTATTATGACTATCATTATTATTTTGAGATAGGATCTTGCTAAGTCATTGAGTTGCCAGACTAGACTCAAACTTGCAATCCTCCTGCCTTACCCTTCTAGAGTGCTGAGGTTACACATGTAGCCAAAGTGCCTGATTTAAGTATTATTTTAAGCCTCACTGGGGATGATTCTCTTCCTAAAGACTGGTTTTCCTGGTTTTCCTGGTTTTGAAAGACATAGAGCTGACAGGTTAGCTGCATATACCCCAGGGGAAGGATGACATGATGTTTTTACTTTTGAACTTAGTAGAAGTCTAAAAAGAGCAGGTGGTGGCCTCAAAGACTGCCTTTTTTCTGCAGAGCTGTTTTTAGTTTTGAAGGCAGGTATTGAGTGACTTCTGGCCCTGCAAGCTGGCTTGGGTTGAAAGGGCCTTCTTTTCAAGTTCCCTCTCTCATCATGTGATAACTCAGATGCTGTAACTGCTGTATCTTCTTTAGCCAAGCCCTGTGAAGCCTAGAGTTATAACCAGTAGGTGTGCGGACCAGGAAAACCGAGGCAGTGCAGGAACTTCTTGTGCCTGAGCGGGTACGTCCCACAACAGTGAAACCTCTTCAGAAAGCTGCACCTAATCCCACATTTCAGGACCTAGTGGATCAGACCCCAAGGCTCCCATTCACAGTGGCTATGAATCATTTGTTTCCCTACCAGATGGAAAACAGGTGTTGTCTTCTTTTCCTTGCATCTCCATTTCTTAAGCACTATGGTAAGTTCAAAAGCATATAAATTTCAATGGAAAAGTAAACATTCTCCTTTTTAAAAAAAAAATGAGTAAAGGGGAAAAAATGTGTCAGATTTTCCTGGCCAACAGAACTCTTCTACTTTATCAGATTAAAATGAATTCCCATCAACAATAACTTCTTGGCCTTTGGTATTTTAGGTAGCATCAGGTTGTCCACCTTTGCAGACAGCTGGGTTGCAGTCCTATTCCCGGCGCTACTGTCAGGTTCCCTTTTGCTTCCTGGATGATTTAAGCAGCAGTGAAATGCAGCAGTTGCCAGCTCTTGAGACATTACTGGCTGCAATCCTTTTCCTCCCTCAAAACCAAGGTTGTTGTCAAAATCTTAATTCATAGTGACTTGTTAGCAACCCAGGCAAGTTGCAGAATAATCTATTCTGAAGAAAGCACGCTTCACTTGGAATCCATGAAGTTGCTTCTCGGAAAGGGCCTCATTTTCTATAACTGGCATCTGCAAGAATACAGAAGGGCACCCAAGAGGTCGTGTCGTCCTCCTCCTCCTTTATTTCATCTTTCAGGTTCAAGGTTGAAGAAGGCTGAGCTAATTCTGTTTCTTTTTAACTCTTTTTCTCTGCCTGTGAAACTGACTTGAACACATTCTTGGGATCTGTGTCATGACAAGTTCTGTAAATGATTCACACTGAAGTGACCTTTAAAGAAAGAAGAAATCAGCTGGATTTAGGAGCCCAGAGCTGTGCAGAAGCCAAACACCCCAGGCTCTGTGTTCCTTTCCTTTGAACTTGAACTTACTGTTACCTCCCTGGCCTTGCTGCGGGTCATGTGACTCAGAGATGATTTTAATCACTAGGTTAATGCCAGCAATATTTGCATATGCTCCTGTGTAAACCTGGGAGATTTTGATAGAATTAAACTTCTGAAAAAGAAAACAAGATTAACAGGCAATTTGAAAGGCTAGTGAAAGAAATAGGTCCTACAAGAAGGAAACTTGTTCGTTTGAGCTTGCCAGTATTCAGGGGTTTTTGTTGTTGTTGTTGTTGTTGTTCTATATTGCATGCCACCAAGAGGAATTACATTGTTATAAGATATAATGTAATCTTAGATATAAAGTATATAAGAATTTTGTTAAATACTCATGATGTCATTAGTGCCATTGAGAAATACAGAAGTTTTTGTTCCTTTTTAAGTGCTGGCTTTAATATATTCTTTTTTCTATTTCCAGAAATAAAAATGATCCTTCTGACCATCCAATTCTTTCATCCCTCTCCATTCTTCTCTGTTACCACCAAGGAACAGTGGTGAAAGGGTCATTTTTTATCACTTTGGCGAGGATTCCAAGAGTCATTCTCATGTACATTCACGACACGCTAAAAGACAAGGTAAGACATCAATCTAACCCAGAAAAGTTAAGTCCTAGAAAACTACCTGGGACCCAGGGCAGGAATGTGCCCTGTGTTCCTTAGCTGGTAGGTCACCATTGCAAGTTTTTGTGGGTACTCAGCATGCTTCTTTTTTTTTTTTAAAAAAACAAAGAAAATGCATTGTAAGATAGAAATAGTGCTTGTTTCTCTTTCAATACAAACATGTTCCTTGCCTATTGTTTCTCCAGAGTGTGCCATGGGAAGTCACTGGTGAGTGTGAGGGAGAAAGGGAGAGGGTTGCAATGAGTGTGCGTGTGTGCGTGTGCGTGTGTGCATGTGTGTACACATGCCTGAGAGTGAGAAAGGGGCAAGCTGACCTACATGTCAGCTCAAAAGACAGAAAACTGTAGGGCTTTTGTGCTGGGGGCTTTCTCCTCCCTGGTTTTTATTTCCATGCACATTTGGTTATGAATGCCAGTGGAAACCAGAACACCAGGAAAACAGCTGTTCTCATGGTATTTCTGCCCTGCCAAACAAGGCAAGCTTGGACTTTTCCCAGCTTTTCTGTTCTCACACAATGTTAATCTCTCTTCATCCTCCCTCAGGGTTCGTGACTTGATCAGCGTTTCACACACCTACCTAATGCCAAACTTTTCAGAATAGTTCTGTGTCCCTAGTGAGTTGGGGACGTTTTGCACATGGGTTCCTATTATAACTTAAATTTATTTTTGTTTGCCCTTTGAAACAGAAATCTGAGTTGTTGACATTTTTAAATCTGTAAGCAAGATTTAAGTTTAGTATATCAATTAGGGACAATGGATTGAATTTCACATAAAATTACCTGTCTTCCTTATCTCAAAGTGCTAGCTAAGTGTTGCCCCTAATTGTAGGCTGTCTTCTTGTATTTCTGTTAAAAGTCTTACCTGGCTACATTTTGGTGCCTTAAAGAAGCATTCCCACATTTGGGACAAATCTAGCTATTTCTAGCTCTTGCATTTTGAGACCTATCTATCAATCTTAGGAAACTGAAGAATTTCTTTAAAATATAACAGTTTTTTGTTTATGTCCATATGTTTTATACGTATATACATGAATGTATATTTATATATCCTACTAGCATATACATATATTTTATGTAGATATATTTGTATAAATATATGCATTAGTAACAGGTAATCATAAATACATGAGCAGCTAGGAGCTTGTTGTCCTTCTTGCAGAGAGGCATCTTAAACTGTTCCAGGAAGCAGCTTTCTATAAACCTAGAAGAAAAGTCAGAGGAAGATCTAAGGCATCCCTGACTGAGGTTTAAATGTTACTTATCACTTCCTCGATCCTGTGAAGACCAAGGGGCCAACCTTCATTTTAGTAATATCACTGTCAAAGAAATATGGCCTTTTTTAGGTTTAAAATAAAAGTCTTTCTCAGCAGCCTTACAGTCCATACTGTGTCCACCGTGAAAATGTTTTGCACGGCCACCCTGTGATCTTTCCAATAGGCTCTTTCACAGCTGCTGCCAGGCTGAAAAGTATCCAGATCAAGTTTCCCCCAATTGAATTAACACTGGAACAAGAAAAAGTCCATATAAGGCTGAGTTATTCCTGGGGTCCTCATGGTAGGCTATTTCAGGATTGCTAGCCGAGATTTTTTTTTTATTAACTCTGGACAAGGTCAACCACCCTTCCCCCAGGCATTTCATTGGATTATTCATTCATTCTTAGTGCACATTTTCAAGTTATATTTCAAAAGACTCATTTATCCCTTGAAATTTCACCCAAAAGTGTCACAATAGGATTTATTTCCCTCTAAAGTTAAATTTGAGTACTTGTGCGGGCACAAAAGTAGTTTCTACAAAGCTTTATTTTTTATTTTATTTGTTGTTGTTGGTTTGTCTTTGGAATGTGAATTTTTTATGAACACAAATTTTGGGTTTTAAAAGGCAAACTGTACCATTTGAAGCACTTTAAGGAGAGATGAAAAAGGAAGAGAGATCCTTTTTACTAGAAGGCCTGCTCTTCCTTTGCTATTGAAATGGATTAACCCATTTCCCTTGCTGCTGAAGTTGGCAGCAACCATAGCAGGTAGGCAGTGAGGAGGAACTAAGCTCATCAGGATGATAGTGACTCGCAGTAGGCACAAAACAGAACTTTTCCCACACTCAGTGAGAACTGCTTTGGGTTTCCCCGGGTGGGTAAGTCCATAGTGGAGACAAAGTGGGTATTCACAGACACCATTTGCTTACCTCTGTTCTGTTACTTTTCACGCTGTTCCTGTGGTCTGGACCTGATCTCGGCAGCATAGTGCGTGCTCTAGGGGTGTGTTCAGATGCTGCTGCTGCTGTTTCTCATATCTTGCCAGACTCTTGCATCATCTCAACCAGGTATGTGCCCCACCCTGCACCCCAGAAACATACAGGGGGTGTGAGGGTAGTTTCCAGGTCCTATATCAGAGGTTGGCAGATTTCTTCTGTAAGAGGCCAGATTGTGTAATTATTTTAAGCTTTGGGGCCATGTGTTCTTGGAGAAACCACTCAACTCTGCCTTCACAGCAGAAAAGCAGCCATGGACAAAATGGGAAAGAATACACAGGAATGTGTTCCAATAAAACCTCACTGATGGATGCCAACATTTGAATTTTGTATGATTTTCACATGTCAAGAAATATTCTTCTTATTCTTTCCTACCATTTTAAAATTGTGAAAATCATTCTTAAATCCAGCCAGAGAAAGGTGGGTGGTCTGATAAATCAGGCCCCAGGCTGTAGTTTACAGTTCTTTATGTTGGAAATGAGGCTATTAAAACTATTGCTAAAGTTCTGAGAGAAATGGATTTCTCTTCTCTAAAGTAAAAAAGAGAATCTGTAGAGACCCTAGCATAATGAATATGTATCAGCTAAGAGCTAATTTTCAGTGGCTTGTCTAAGAACTATAATTTTCCCAAGCTAGGAAAAGAATCACCTCCCTAATTTTTATACATTTTACCAGCCTTTACTTTTCAAGCTATAAATATCTCTTTAAAAATCATTAAAATGATATCCTGCAATTGTTTGAACTAGATTTGTCTTTCCTGAATTTTTCAAATTGTTGTAAATTTAAATATATGTTTTATTTTTCTGTAGATCATTTAGGAAGTTTTAATAACCCCTAGTCAAATTTACGTAAAGCATTATTTATGTAAGTCAGCAAGATGTTTTATAATTTAAATGTTCACAGAAACCTCACTTAGAAAAGTACTTCTTTTTATTGCCTATCTTCCTAATAAACGTACCATTAGAAGTTAAGGGACTAATTATACTAGCCACGCTTAGTGTGTGCTACATGGTATTTACAGTACCTCTCATTCAGAGAAAGTGTAGCTGTCTTTTAGTAAAGCTCTATTTCTAAGGCTGTTCTTAAGAATCTTGGGGTACATTTAATAGCATATTTCGTTTTCCTTTGGATGTCCACAAACCAGCACATATAAAATAAAGTAAAATACCCCAGCACCTTTCAGAATGATGGGTCACATAGCAAGTTGAGCCCAGCCCTGGGAATATACTCAGGGAGTAACATGCCGTGCCTGTCCTCTTAGAGCAGCGTGCATGAATCTGGCACCGACTTAACGCATAAAGGTTTTTGAGATGGAGTGTAAAGATATATTAACTGTGATAAGATATACTTGCTTGAAAAGTCAAGGTTAAAAAATATAGACTAAAAAGTCAAAAGCAATGAAACCTTTGATATGAACAGGTTGGCTATGTGGTGCTCCAAGGCTCCGAGCTGCAGTTGCTACCTCTTCTGTTCTGTGAAAGTGAGGTTCTGTCTGCATCCCTCTTTCACCGGTGATGTTCAAACTGCCCTTTGGAAGCCTAAGGGCCCCTTCTTGTATTGTGAGCCTCACCAGGTCAGGAGGAAGGGAAAATGGGTGCGAAGGAGGAAGGGCGAGTTCTGTCTCATCACCCTGCTCTACCTTTGGCTGAGAGCATTCTTGTTTTCATCTGCTTTGGGCTGAGAAGCTCCTGAAGATTCCGTGTGAAGACAGGGTTCTGCTGCTAAGCATATTTGAAAGCCACCATCTTACACTGTTTTCACACTTGTTTTCTCTACCTTATTATCCTCAGGGACATAGTTTTCTGCCTTCTGAAAGTTCCTTTCTTTATATTAACTCAGGACTCTTTTCCTTAAGAGTTCAAAACATTCCAAAGATCACGTTAATATTTATATTAACCATGCTATTATTACCATTATAATAGATCCTTACCACATACCTGAGAATTTGAGTAATTGTCTTTGAAGCACAAAAAAGGCTAAGCCAGTCTCGATCCAACTCCTGTAGTGAGTTGGTTCAAACAGGGCTGGGGCTTTGGGATTCTGATCATGGTGCCTGTGCACTAGGCTGTGACTTATGTCAGTTGTCATGGAGACTTTACACTGGGTGACAGCCGTACCACTGAGCAAAGCCTGTTCATGTGACCACTGCTAAGCCAGCTAAAGTTTAGAAGACTGAGAAAGAGGAGGAAAGAAAATGAAAAAGAAAGAAAGGAAGGCAAAGAAAGGGAGAGAGGGTGAGCTGATATGAATCAAGATGGAGCAGGAAGAGCCACCTGTTGTCTAGATTGACTGCTGAGAAGCAGAATGAAGTGAAAGTCTTTGAATAGAAAGACAATGATTATAAAATGGTAGTCAGCACTTTGGTTGATCTCATCTTGCAGTAGAGAAAGAATAGCCAGCTTAAGTAAGAAAAGGAATTTAGATTTGTCTTTTGAGAAATGGCCTAGTGCTGGAATGAGTTAGTAGGGAAGTTTTGGCATCTGTGTGTCTGGAAATTAGATTTAAAAGGACCAAGGCCTACTTTATTTCCCTTGTTCTCTGGAATGAGGACAAGGAAATGCTACAGGAGAATGAGATCTATTTGTTATCTTTAGAACCTAGATTTGTTCCCTCTTCAACATCAAGGAGCTGACTGTGTCTCATCATTGCTTTTTAAAAGCCTTATCTGTTTTCACAAAGTCCCAGGAGGAAGGCAAGTGGAAATTGCTGCATTTTGTAGGCACCTAGCTGAAGGCTGCATGGTAATTCATTTGCAGAATAGGACATAAATCCCAATCTCATCATTTCTCATTTACCTCTCTCTACATCACAAAGACCACACGTGTATGCAATTAGGATACTGTGTCACCTCATACATTAATTTATGCAACAAATATTTGCTTATTTATTCTATAAGCAACCATTTGAACCTGGGCGCGATGTGGGAGGGGGACGGTGGGGATCCTGAGATAGTGTGGCGCACAAGCCAGGACTTCAAGATGTTGACAAGCTAATTGGGGAAGGAATGCAGTAAGAAAAATATGAGTGAGACATCTGTATAACTGTGTAGAAAAGTACATGTTTAAATGCTGGAATGAAGGCTGAAGAAGTTTAGAAAAGGAAAATCTCAGTAACTAAAGGTGAGCATTTGACACGATAATTGAGGAAAAATTCACACGAGAGGTTGGACCTGAGTCTAAGGCAATCACTACAGCTCACCAGCTAACAAATAACAAGCGCTATAGGGTGTTAGTACTTACCTGAAGTGGCGGCTATAGACTAAGCATTTTTCTTACCTTATATAAACAGTACAGCCAGGTTACACATAAGGGATCTGAGGCTTACAGAAAACCTAGAGTTGGTAGAACGAAGAGTTTGGCTTGCCTGCAGGACCAAGCCCTTAACCACGTTGCAGGTTTTCCACAGTTGGATCTGGGGTAACACCTGGGACTGTTGTCTTCTGCGTCTGTCCAAGCCAGGGCCGCACAAGCTTGGTTGCTGACAGTCAGTCTTGTTCGCAGCCAACTCCTGGAGGACGGAAAAGGTGTAGGGCCGGGAAGAGGCCAGTCTATGAATCATACAATGATAGAACCAGAAAAGCCTTGTCAGGGTGGTCTGGCCCCACCTCCTGTCTCAGACAGAGCTGGTCCCTCCTGGCTTCTGGCTTCTTAGTATCTATACTGGCTCATCTGAGAGACTTTCAGGCAAAGTGTCCATGTGGCCACCCTCTGGTCTCCAGCAGTGCCCTGGGACCTGGCTGAGAAGTCTCACTATGGGACCCAGCAGGTATATATTTTACCAGCCTTTACTTTTCAAGCTATAAATATCCCTTTAAAAATCATTAAAATGATATCCTGCAATTGTTTGAATTAGATTTGTCTTTCCTGAATTTTTCAAATTGTTGTAAATTTAAATATATGTTTTATTTCTCTGTAGGTCATTTAGGAAGCTTTAATAACCCCTAGTCAAATTTACTCAGCAAAGAGGGCGTGCCTCTTACTGTTTCTTACAGCGGCCACACAGTCCCCTAGAGGAAGAGCCTCACCTCCCCGGTGCACACACGCTCTGATGCTGGCTTTAGCTCAGTGTCCCTCTAACTGCAACCCACTGGGGGCCACAGTGCTCTTCCCAATGGCTCCAATTGAAACCAAAAAAAAAGCTTTCTTTTCAATTTTTATTGACAAGTGCCGTGATCTGCGTGGGGAGCAGGGTCATGAGAGAAAACAATAAGAGCTTAAGAAGAAACAAGACACATGAAAGGAAAGCTGGGGCCCGGTGGGACCAGACCTCTGTGAAGGAGAGCAGCAACAGTGTCCCAACCCCAGCATCCAGCATCTTTATTCATACAACGTGGGGAAAAGTGTGTGACAGGGTTAAGAGAACAAGGTCTCGGTGTTTTGCTGAGAACACTGAAAGTGAAACATTCTGAAAACTATCTGTGCTACCAGGAACAGGGAATAACACCAAGGCCACACATCTGTTGATACACAAGACAGCTAGAGATCAACTGATGGCACAGTGTGCCTGTGGCATTCCCTGTCCTTGGGCTTTGCTCTAATCTCAAGGAGTTTGCCAACCTCAGGCTCACCATGGCTCAACCCTCCCCACAGACAAGTAGCAAAATTCCATAAGTTTTTATTTTCACATACAAAAAGGAGCAATTTACCAGTCAGTAAAGTAGATAATGTTTTAAACCTTACCAAGGTTTTTATGAACCCAAATTGATACTTTATTTTGTTTCCAAGGAACTCAGTGCCTTCCTACGAAAGCTCTGAATGTCTTCACTTGACACTGGGGGCTTTGCAAATTAGAGACAGAACACTGTGCTATAAACAGTGTTGTCTTGAGTTGTTTAGTTATAGTTGTTTTGTCTTAATTAACATCATACTTCTGTTATTATTTGCTTCTTGTTTAATTCATTATATTTCTGTCTTTTTAAGTACTGACTTTCTTTCAGTCCTTTCTTCTTCTTGCAGAAGAAGTGGGAGTAGGTACAGAAAGTGAGCTGCAGGCTGATTTCTGTCGTTTCCTGGGAGATGCTCCCAAACAAAGGTGACTCCTTAGTCAGGTATATCTGGTTTGCCTCTACCTCA